ATCACCAAAAAGAGGAGGGGGAATCTCTCCTCCCCTCATCTCTTTCTGCTGCTCCCTCCATGCCTTCCTCATCCACACAGCCCCCGTCTGACTCCTTAGAAACAACAGATCTGAAAGCAGCCCCCCCATCCCCTTTCTTGTCTTTGCGATGCCACTCCAGAGCCAAGTGAAGTCTGGCGATAGTGACAGCTCAAAGGCGCCCTGCTAGTGGCTGTGGAGAACAGAGGGACTGTCGCTTGACTCACTAGCCCACAGTATAGCCAACCCACTGGCTTGCATCTTAATTCATCTACTCTCCCTGGGGTTTTGTTCAGGCCTCACAGGGTCCTGGGCCTCAGTTATCCATGTGTTTTGAGGAGAACTAGGTCTGTTAATGCAGATTCACCCCAGGGAGCACCAGGAGAGAGGATGGTGAGAAAGCCTGGATCAATTCTGTTGGTGAGGCCCTGTTCCCTTAGAGCCTGGCTGCTGGGGGAGACTAACCATTTTTAACAAAGAACATCAATTCAGATCAATTCAGATGGGCCATATAGTGATGTTTAACATTATCAGCTGTTGTCATAAAGAAATGTCTCTTACATTGAGATACAAACACTTGTCATTTACAAGAAACAACCAGAAATAGAGAACATTAAAATATATTTTTCACTGATAATCTGTTGAGATCTCATGTGATAACTGGACTAGAGCTTTAAAACCTAGATGCTACTGTATTACATTAGAGCGTTAGCAGGTCGATGAATGCAACAAACACTAAAATAGATAAACTGGCTTTGACACCAGGGGTGGGAAAAGGGAAGAAAAATAGACGAGAAAAACTAAGGTGAGACATGGGGACACATTTTTAAACACAAACAATCCAACCCTGTCTCCTTCTATATACCGCGATGTCAAAGACGTTATATAGTGACGTAAAAAAAAAAAAAAAAAAAAGGACAGGTAAACAAGACATCGGTAATGCAATCGAAAATGCAAAAACTTACTTAGCTAAACACAGAAAAACACACACATCCCAGTCATTCAGGAAGGTGATTTGCAGTTGTTTGGTAGAAGGATGTAGATCACACAGCTGGTCTCACATAAGACCCTCTGTGTTGTTGCCCAATTTGGGAAGTATGTGTTTTTGTGTTGTCCCCTCTTCAGGTTATTTTGGGTGTTTGGCAGAAGTGCTGCTATTACAAAAGAGGCCCATTAGAATCCTGCTTTCATTCATTCAGTGCACTGTTTCGCCTTTGAGGGAACTCAATCTGGTATTACAGAAGTCACTTTCCTTTAGTCAGCAGTGGAAACTTGCTAAACACAAAACACACTGATGTCACTGAGTGCATTTACACGGGCACAAGTATATAGTGAAAGTTCTGATTTAGAATTATTACGGGTATGTGCTTTGCATGCAAACAACGTATCATGCTTTTATAAACCTGGATTTTTCAACTGGAGTCAACGTTATAAACCATGATACTGCGGCATAAAAACACCCTTTTCTGGTTTCTGAATATTTTGAACATGTTAGTACAAAACAAGGTTGACGAGATGTTGAGAAATGAAACCACAGCTGCACATGCATGAACAGGAACCTTGCTATTGTCATGATCATGTGTACAGAGAGAGATGAATCAAACAGGATTTTTTAAAGTTTAAATCATCATACTTAGGATACGGCATAAATGAAGGGGCACAGGGTTCATGCAAACATTCATGCATTTTAAAATCGCCCAGGGCTTTATCGATGTTGTAGTTAAAATGTATTCTCAGGAAATTTGATTTGTGTTTTCTTTGTTTTTAATAGTCTGAATGAGTTTGGATTGGTGAAGGAGTAGTTAGTTTTGTTGGCACTAAAAGCCAATTGAAGTATTGGCCAATGGTTAAGGCAGAAACAAGGTAAGTAAAGTAATAGAGAAAAACTATTTTATACATTTACATATGTTGCTGTTTACACGCTGCTTTGAAACTGCACATTCTTAAGTTTTCCCAGACTGTTTTACTATAGAGTCAAACATACATGTTTGAACTCTGTAGGACAATACAGAGGTTTGCACAGACTTGAATATTAGTTGAAGCACATTTAGGCTCATGGTTGACATGTTTGACGGTAAACTACAAGGAAGAATGCATCAAAGCACTGAGTGATCTGAAACAAATAGATATAATCTTTATCAAGACATTTAATTTCAAGGTTTGTTTCAAGTCTCCAAACTGAGAATGTGAGCCGCCTTAACCTCTAGACATTTTTTGTCCCCTGAGCCAATAAAAAAGAAAATGTACTCTATAGCTCATATTAGTTAAAAAATGAAAATACTAATGAATAACCATAAGATTTTTTGTTTTAGAAGCATGTGTCTAAATTATTGTTTAACTTCAAGCAAAGCAAGTATTATTTACGACACTGATAACCTATAATGTTATTTTGTCTGGGACACAAGAGTTATATGGCCAGCAGGCCTTCAGCATCACCATGTCTGGACTATCCACAGAAAAAAAAAACATTAGTTTTTACTGAGGGCCTGTTTAAAGCTCAGCACTGACGTACTAAACAAAGTTCAGGAGCCTGGTTTGCTCTGTTAACTTGGGTAAATGTTATTCAAACCTCTACAGGAGAGACCCCACTACAACACCTGACATGACATATAGCTGGCCTTTCAAGCAACAGCTGGCGGTGAGAGCACCAAGCCTTTCAGGTAAATGTTTCAAAGCCTGTTAAACTGGTAGTGGTCTGCTTGCATCCCTCAGGAGGTGTGTACCCTGTATGTGTGTGTGATGGTGCATGTGGCAGGGCTGCAGGGCCCTGTTTACTGAAAGCCTGCTTACCGGCCCCTGGGTGTCTGTGAGCTCCGTGCGAGGAGTGGCGCTGCGCCCCCGCTGACAGGTAGCTCCCCTGGGTGTGCTGCTGCTGCTGCTGGGTCTCCGGGTAGCTGCGACCACCACCGTGGTGCGGCGCCCAGCCGGGAGTGCTCTGCTGCGGGTAGCTCACCCCTCCCCCGCTGGCGTTCATCATGCTCCCGTTTCCAACCGCGTTGATGCTGCCGTTGCTTCCGACGTTGCCGTTCAAGCCGAAATGATAGAAGCCAGACCGAGACCGAGACCGCGTCCTCGGGGGGTCCATGGCCGGGGAGGAAAAGGAGAAGGAGGAGGAGGAGGAGGGCGGCGGTGGTGGTGGTAGATGATGAACGTGATGAAGGTAGGCTGAAGAGATGGACGTCCAGAAACGGGGAATAGCCTCCTTCTGTATCTACTCTGTTGCCTCTAAACACTACCAGCTGCTGAAATGTGCATTTTTAAAGCTTCAATGTAAAGAGAAGAGACACCTGGAAGCCCCTCATGTGTCGCACAAGCACCATCTGCATCCACCCCTCTTCTCTCCCTCTCTGTGTGTCTGTGTGTGTGTGTGTGTGTGTGTGTGTGTGTGCCAGGCAACTGCACGGAAATTATTTCAACACTTTCAAACGTGCAAAAAGTGTCCAAATGGTATCGCAGTTACATCAGCTGGTGATAAAACAAAACAACAACACTCAAAATGCTGTTTTCTCCAAGTTGGTTATGATTGGTTTCCGTCGTTTAAACAACACAAACAGCTGCGCGAGTCTCAGGTTCTCTATTGTCTTTTCACAGAGGATCACTCCGGCTCTCCCCCACGGCTCATTTAAATGTTTTTAAAGCGCAATTTGGGGGCCCACACTGACCTATGTGTTAACGAGCAACTTCAACTAAAGTAAATACAAGTCGCTCTTCCCAAGTTAAACACTTAAATCCCCCCCAAAACACAAGCAAGATGGCTAAATGTCGAAGCCTTAGCAAAACTACAGGAGCCCTGATGGCTGCCACCGAAAATAAGTTGTTAGATTATGATTAAATTGTCGGTAAAAATGCTACGGGTGTCGCGCTGTGAGTAATAAAGTTGCTCCCCTTCGCGATGCTTAACTATACCAACTCGTTCATTAGCATATTGTCTATTTTTTTCAGCTAGCCCCAAGGCTAACAGGAAGCGGATTCTAGAGGGGAAAACAAGTCCAACAGTGCCGACATTACAAGCTAGCAAACGTCGCACCGTGTCGAGGTTTGGTTAGCCGCTACACACGGCTAAAAGCGGATTATGTTAGACCGCGTGAGAAAATAGATATCTACCTTATCCGTCAAGTGAGGTGGACAGTGTTTGTCCCATTTAAATCCCCTCTCGCGTTCGCTATCGAGTGTTTTCTCTGGTCAGCGGGGAGTGTAGGGGAAGATCAATCAATGGGAGTTTCACATCTCTCGTCAAGTCAACCCCAATCGATCGAAGATAAAGTGCAGTCCGTCACTGGTTTATTTCGCGCCGTGCTTGGGAAATCTATGGCGTGAACCCAAACGCCCCCTCCCAAAAAAAAAAAGAGGGTGTAATGATTTCAATAACTATCAGAGCAATGTTTGTTAAATGAGAAGCATCAATGTCGATGTTTAAGTAGCAGCCTGTTTTCTGAGTTGACTACTCTAGTCTGGCAAACCCCGGGCAGCTGCTCCGTTCATTAATAATTCAGCAGCTTCATACCAGAAATACTATAAGACAAGGCTTTAAGAGCGATTGTGTTCACACAGCTTTTCAAATAGACCAGTCCTGCATGGGCGGATGCTTAAAGCCGTAACCGATGTACTAAGAAACTGCGAAACGCCAATTCCTGTGTCTTCACAATCTCGTATCACGCTATAAAAACGATCCTAGAGCAAGCAATAAGACAGGAAATTCATGTGTTTTGACTTTTTTTTTTTTTTTACATTATAAATACTTCTCTTAACAAATATCAGTCTGGGATCTGTTCCTTTGATGTGATAACAAATAATTATAATTAAAGAAAATGATGTTGCTGCAGAACTAGCCTTATTTTTAGCTGAAAAAGTGCAATACATCAGCCGTAAAGCAACACATTGAAAAAATGTTTTTTAGAGACTAGGTGAAAAAAAGAGTATAATTGTAGTAGATGTGAATACTAAAGTACAGTGATAGTGATAAATGAATGAACAAACAAAAGACAGGTACAAAATTGTTTACTATTATCCAGTCACATTCATTACCCTTAAACATGAAGAAATAGTCACACTTCATCGTCTTCTGTGACGTACTCTTTGTTTTGGGGAAAGAAAGTTTTCGCTACTGATATCTACATCACCATGGGGATATAAATCCCCATGTTTAAGCCCTCCTCTCTTCTTCCATCTCTCTGCCTCTCTGCTCTTCCTGCTCCTTCTGTCACCTGCCTCATCCCTCCTCTTCTTTTGTGGAGGGGATGGAGACTTCTGACCATGAAGAAGAGACCTGGAGGGGTCTGAAGGGCAAACTTCATCATCAAATTTTCCCTTGGATCTCCCCAACAGTCCTCCTTCTCGTCTTGCTTGAGCCTCTCTCCTCAGCTTTTTCACCTCCCGTCTCTCTCTGCGCCTCTCTGGCCACGTCTTCCTCCTGCAAGCCTGGCTACACGCCACCTGCTTTGTCTTGCTCCTCCCTTGAACAGCCAGATTCTCCTCACCACTCTCTTGTGTTAGTTCAGTCTGCTGATCTAAGAAAGGCAGGCATCCAGCACTTATGAGCTCTGCAAACACAGCATAGATAGAAAAAAATGAACTGGATAATCTCTCCAAACCTGAGGTTTGGCTGAACAATCAGTTAAAAGAACCTGTTGTTAACAAATGCATGAAGTAACGTTTATAATTAACAAGAGATCAAACATAACATGAAAGGGTTCGCTCAACTAGACAAACCAAAAAGAGGAGTCTTTGTGTTGGTTTTTACAGCCTGCAACTTTTCTGATTTGATTCTCTCTCATTGCTTTCTTTGACGGAGTTGTCAGTCGCAGTAGGCAGCTGTTTTTAGTGAAAAAAAAACTCTAATGAAGCCAAACACTTTACCTGCCCAACAACAAAGAGTAGACAGTCTATGTAAGCGAACAGCTGGTGAATATAATGATGCATTAAGTAAAAACAGACAAATCACAGCTTAAGGCAGATTGAATACTGATTATAAACTAACTGTCAAATCATTAGGTACATGTGGCTTAATCTAATGCAGCCTAGTACATACAGTATATCCTGAAATAAAGAACAAACGTGAACAACCTTTCCAAATCTTATTCCCACGAAGGCTGTCCTCAAAAAATCGATATTGCAATATATCGTCATGTGCTCCTTGCAAATACATGTATCGATTCAGATGTTACAGAATCGATACGGCTGCAGAGCTGTGATGACAGTTCAGAACAACAATTGACCTATAGCTCTGGGATTCAAATATTTGAATGTACATATTTCTAGGATCTCTGAGGACCTGAACTGAAGTGTTTTCAGTTGTAGGATCCTGATGCCTCCGCTGGTATTCTCAACGATAAAAAAAACAGCTGTTGTAGTAAATTCTGTGTAGGACGTGGTTATTATCCAAAATCAATGTATATCACGATATGTGTCGTATCGTGGCCTTTGTATCTTGATATTTATGGTATTGTGGGGTTGTAGGAAATACCCAGCCCTAATTCCCACTGCTGTCAGTAGGTTAAGGAATCTTCCCTTTTTTTCTTTGTTGCGTTGTTTATTTATTCGTGTGGAACTTTTTGTGCAGCAGTCTTGGCCAGGACTCTTTTGTAAAAGAGGAATAATTCTGGTTGAATAAAAACACCATTGCCACCCCATCAACTGGAGGTTGTCATTATTTCAGGTCAAATCAGGCTATACACATCCAAACTAAAAGCTAAAGTTACTACATTAGGTAACCAGAGAGAGCAACAGCTGGTGTGCACTGCAATCAAACAGAATCATGAAAGAGGATGCTTGGACGGCCTGGTCTGTTTTCGTTTATATCAGATGAGATTAAAACCCTGAAATCCCCCCTTAAAAAAATAACTAACCACAATTAAAATGACACAATTTAAACAGTATCACTGCACATGAAACATTTTACGCTTTCTCACCTTTTGATCCTTCATGCATCCTTGAATTATGTTTCAGGATGTCGTTGATTGAGTCATAATGGATAACAAAGGGCAGTGAGGGAAACATCCCGCTGACCATCCTCCTTTTAGAGCACTCCTGATACAGACAGAAACACAGGCACAGATGGAGGGAGGGCCGACAAAAACAGTGCTTTCACTTTTAAAAAGTATTTAAAAGAGAGAGAGAAGATTACATTTAAAGTGAGGGAGCAGGAGGAACAAAGAAAGACAGGAACTAGTCCAATCCAAAAAAAAGATAGCGGACAAGAGACGGAGTGCATGCTGCACAGAGGTGTACACAGAGGTGGAGAAAATCGGGGGGAAAAACGACATTGTAACAAAAAAGAAAGAAATAAAAGGGATACACCTGAGGGCAGGGGAAGATTAAGCCAGGATACCAAAGAAGATGAGAAAAGTCAGAGTGAGATTTCTGTTGTGTCTTACATAACCATAATGTCCCATCTTGGAGCAGTTGTAACAAAAAGTCAGGTATTCCTTTTGTTCTGGGGTGTGGACTGTCGATGGCCTTACTGGAACCTCTAGTTGGATCTGCTCAAACAGACATTTTTAAATATGGAAATAGGTCAATAGTTGAGTTATTTTATTAATGCAAACCCATGCATGCCAACTCTAAGTCTCACCAATACTTTTCAGTGCAGTAAAGTACAAAATTTAACTCACAGTCAAGTGGTATTGTCTCCACAAATCAGGGCAGGCCTGAAGTCAACCCAGGAGACAAAAGGTAAAAGTTACTCATTTAAAACTACAAAAAAAAAAAACAACACTGTAGAACTGCAATGAAGAAGTGAAAACGAAAAACTGCTTGACGACGTCAAAAAACACTTCATACATTAGGCCCACACATGCCTGAGGCACAGTGTCAACACACCGCTGACAAATGCTTTCAAAGTTTCCTTTAACATGTAAACACTTTCTTTTTAACATAAACTGTGACAGGGGCCATATCCAGGTGCTAAAGGACGCTCACATCAGAGAGATGCCCTGCCATCCTGCAGCGCTTGCAGTGTTGATTCCAAACTGGGGGTCTTTCACAGGGTCTGAAGCAATGAGAAGGCAGTCCACAGCTGGAGCAGGGACGGCGCGGACAGTCCCTCAGGATATGGCCCTGGATGCCACAGAGGACACAGGTGGGACATTTCTGAAGGCAAATAGACAAAAAAAAGAGAGTTAAGATGGGATTTTGTTGATCAACCTCTAAAAGTACCTTGGACCCACACTGACAATCTGTTTGTGAAACAATAGAGACATATAGGGAAGGTAATACACAAGTTCATGGAGCTGTATATATGGGTCATCATTTAAAAAAAAAAAAAAGGACCACAGGATGAGTCTAGAGCAGCAGGGAACAAAGTTATGCATTAACCAAGATTAAATAAGCCATAATGGTAAGCATCTTACTTAGATACTATAATGTGCCCTGTCATTGAGTCTAGTAGGTTTTGTAAGCGGTTTGGGCATGGGCAGTATTTATATCAGAATCAGGGTCATCAAGCAACATCTGTATCAAACTCTTGCAATGAATTTTCTTCCACAGAGCTGTTATGGTAAAATTAATGAAAGAAAAGAAGGGCAGACATGGGCGTTTCTTTACCTTCTGATAATAGCAGCTTTTTGCGAGATGTCCCATCCTATTGCAGATGTTACAGGCCTGAAAGTTACCAGGCACCCAATAGCGGAAGGGCTGAGACTTCTCAGCACCACACTGTAAAGAAAAATGACAAATACTAATAAAAACCAGTCATTAAAACAAAGTACACACTGTTATATTAGACCACAGCCACCTTAAACAAACATGTATGGACTGTATTTCAGAAATTCACTGAGGACTTCATGACTCAGAATTTCATTAAAAAAAAAATTATATATATAAATAATGTTCAATAATATATACAATAAATACCTGCATCGCTGAAAGAAGTTGTTTTTTGTTTATTATAAAGTCTGTTTTCGTTTTCTTTATCTACTTTTTATACAAGCATAAGTTTGAGTTTATTTGAACACCATTTTATAAAGTTTGACCAAAAATACTGCTGCTCAGCAGAATACGAGAGTACCATGACTATCCTGAAAAACACGAGTTCCACAGAAACATGAAAGCTGACAGATATCAGTAGTTACCTTGTCCTTCTCTGATACTTGCCAAGTGTCCATCTCTGACTTCACATTCTGATCTATACAAGAAAAAAATACATGACACAAGATATAAGTTTCACTATAAATTGTATAATTATGTGGTTCGCAAGATGTCGCACAACTCCCCCCAAATTGCTTTTATAAATCAAGAATAAAACTCCATAAGGTGAAGTTAAAGGCTCTGCTCCAGTGGAGCTACTGGCTGACGTGATGAGATGATCTGGTAGAGCAACGAGGCTCCCTGCTGTGAGTATGAGTGTCTCGATTAATGTGAATCAGAGCATTTCTGAAAAATCTGAGTGAAAACTGAGCAAAAAGCCTTGTCAACATTAAAAAATAAATTGCAATCCTATATGTTAAAACAAATACATATGCAAGTCCCCTTTGTCAATTCATGTACTAAATGTATCTACAGAAATGTATTTAATCTCTATTCAAGCTGATGTTCATTTTTATGTCAGAATCTGCTGGTGTAAAACTTACATACAGAGAAACTATCATTACCGAACTGAAAACCCATTCAAAGCAGCATTAGGGGAGCCAAGGATTAGTCAAAGTGTGTTATCGAAAACCATGTAGGTCTATGTTATCGAAACCCTCAATTTAATAAAAAACAATAATTTAAACTGGGGGATGAAATTTAACAACGTCCATGTAAATACAATTCAACTGAAGAAGCTTTTCGGAGGAGATGTGAAACGTCTTTAAAGCTCATCCTATACCAATGAGTAAGCACAGCAGTGGTAAACAAATTTACTACACAAACAGTCATCCACGACTCCATGATGTGAACTGCTGATCTCCATCGGTTTACTTTAAATACATGATTTAGGGTATTTGGACGTTGATTGTTTCATATACAATAGCGTGCCAAAACAGATCATTCGGCATAAGTAGCTGGGCATTCTTGTTCATTTCCCTTTTCACCTGCAGTTTTACATGTTTGTCCCCAAAGGTTACAACCTTTGAAACAGCATTATAGACTTAAACACAAGTGCAAAACCAAGTCTAACCTTCATCTCCAGAGTCATCCGCAGAGTTGTCCCAGTAGCTCAGGTTAAGATGAATACTTGAGTCTCCCACCTGCTCCTCACTCCCTAGGATCATCCACTCCTCAACAGGCTGGTCTCTGTCCTCCTCCTGGTCTCTGTCCTCCTGGTCTCTGTCCTCCTCCCCCTGCAGGTCCAAACTGGAAACAGGACTCGGGTTGTTGTACACCAGTATGAGCGGAGGAGAGCTATCCATGCTCGGCCGAGGAGACTCTTTACAGATTTTGTGACGTCTCAGGCGACTAACCCTGATCTCATCTTCTCCTTCTGAACTACAAAACTCCTCAATGAAGAAACGATCTTTGTTTTCGTTGTCCATCGCGCAGCAGCAGCGCCACCCAACGACGACTCACTGAACTGCTTTAAGATAGCGGAAGGATAATTTAAAACAACACTAATTAAGGCAATTGCTAACGAGAAGAAGTGACTTGCCTGTCGGTTACATTACACTCTTGTATGTTTGTTGAAATTGAGTTATTAGGGGGGGGAAATCCGGGATGTATGACACGTGGGTTCACATCAATCCAGCCGGTGCTATGCTAACCTCGACTCTTCAGCTAGTAGCTAACAAAACAAAGAGAAAGGAAGTCACTTATGGTAATCATTTGTGCGCTTATCCCTTCTAGTTTACCTTATCTCGGTGTCACCTTCACACAGCATACCATACTAAAAGTCCCTCTGTAAAACTACTTCCAATATGTTTACATGTTTGAAGCCCTTCGCCCGGCGTTTCCGGGAGTTTAAATGTTGGTCAACCAAAAACCAATCCCGGCGTTTGAACTCAAAGAGCTTGGCTGTTTTTTGGGGGGTTTTTGGGGGGTTTTTTTGTGTCTCCATGAAGATATGTTGTGAAAGTTTGCTGTGAAAACTCTTGCTTTAACAAAGTGAGTTCATTACACGCAGCCCTATTTCGTTTCACCTTTTGTGATGAGTTGATAACTATCTGGATAATTGTCTGACTTATTTTTCTTATAATTATGTTCAAGCGTGTCAAATTGTTTTGTTTTTTTTTTGCTTCCTTTCTTTTTTATTATGTGCGTTATTTTAATTTATGTTTAATTTAATTGTTTTAATTTATTTTTGGATTATTCTGTGGTTGGATGTATTTTTTTTAACTTATCAAGTATGCCTGTGCTATTTTTCTACACTTCCTGGCAGGTGGGGAAATATTTTAATGGGCTTCAATGGCAATGCGTTGCCATTTTCAGTGAAGCCTGTTAATAGGACCTCCTCTTGCTTTTTGTTTTTCATACTGAACAGGGAAATTAAAGGAAAATGCATGGACAATAGGATTTGGTCTTGGTCTAAAACCCTGGCAGCTATGTGATCACAAGAAGTGTCCAAAGAGCAAAATGACATAATAAAACCACTGAACCACTCAAGCAATTAAGACAGTAAAAAAAAACAAAAAAAACACATAGCCATCCACAAATACGCTCTCTTGAAGTCTGCCCCCCCCCCCCCCCCCCCAAAAAAAAAGCGCACGTAGTCTACACAAACACCAAAAACACACACCAACCCCAAGCCAAGTTTTCTTATTGAATTTCTTTGAAAGAATTCTAACCTCAGTCCAACTAAACTTTGCAACAGGCACCGTGTCAAAGTTAAGGAGGGCGACAGAGTTTTACAGGCAGTCTGTGATGGAGGCACACTTTGGACAGGTGCCGCTCATCGTCACTCACAGTAAGGATGTTTCTAGTTGAATTAAAGTTTTCTTGTGAGGTTAATATTTACAGTCTTAATGGGTTGAACTCTGCAATGGTGGAGGTGCCTGATAACGGAATGCTGGTTGCAGCCGTGCGTCTTGGTGTGATGTGGGTGATGTCTCTGATCTTGCTCTGTTTCTCAGGACACGGCGGGATGAACCAGCTCGGCGGTGTCTTCATTAACGGGCGCCCGTTACCGCACGTAGTGAGACAGCGCATTGTGGAGCTCGCCCTGCGGGGTGTGCGTCCCTGTGAGATCTCCCGCCGCCTGCGCGTAAGTCACGGATGTGTCAGCAAAATACTGACCAGGTAAGTTACACAAACGTTTTTTTTCCACGTAAAATTAATTGTAAATCCTGCATTGTTGTCACTAATTTGCTTCATTTAGCCAAATATTTGATGTGCTGTCTTGTTGCCTACTATAATTAGGCCTAATTTGGGCCTATTTCTATTTATGGTTATCCATTACGCATGACAAATATTTCTTTCAAATATAAAATTAATCTAAAGACGTGGTTATTTCTCACTCTTTGAATCAATAGACAGGCTTACTTGCTTTATTACAACGTATAGCCAGCCTACATAAATCAAATCAGTATCCATATTTTACAAAGATCTGTTAAAATCATTTACAGATAGGCTATCACTACTTTGAATGTAGGTTCAATGAGACAGGAAGCATCAGACCAGGAGCTATCGGAGGCTCTAAGCCTAAAGTCGCCACTCCCAAAGTTGTGCAGATGATCCTGCATCTGAAGCACTCCGACCCCACAATGTTCGCCTGGGAGATCAGAGACAGGCTGCTGCTGGAGCGAGTGTGTGATCCGGACAGCGTGCCCAGTGTCAGCTCCATCAACAGGTAGATAACTGCGTTTGTGTGTCACACAGAGGTAATTAAAACAAGCATTGAGTGAGTTCCTTTATGTCTTTACAGGATAATCAGAAACAAAGTCCAGTTGCAGTCTTGTGAAACCGGTAAATTCTTCTTCTTTTCTTCTCTAATTTGGGCTTTCTGTCTCTGATGTTTCCTTTAACTGACCTCTACATTATCATCAGCATCGTCTGTTGCTAAGGGACCAGCTTATTCCTCAAAGCCTACCTATTCCATCAGTGGTACTCTGGGAATAAGGAAATGCAGCAGAAAATATAAAGAAGGTATTTATTTTATATATGAGTGTAATGTGGGTGTTTTGTGTTTGAATGTGTATAGATATGAGCTATATTACATGTTGAGCTTTTTATACAAAGAGCACATGTCTCAGGTGGAAAGTAAGATAAACAATCAGGACAGCACTCCAAATTTGTATTTTTAATTGCCACAGGAACGTTTCGAGCAGACAGGGGGAAAGTACTCATTTAAATATGTAAAAAGTATGCACATTATCCTTTAGTCTTTTACATATAGTCTTTGCTTATTTTTTGTTTATTGTTGATATTTAATATTATACTTTTGTACATAGTGTTGGGGTTTTACAGAGCTGATACGTGGGCGACAGTTATGTTGGGTTTTATATATAAAGCAATATCAACTTTAGACATTACTTTATGTTGGTCTTACTTAGTCTTTGTAACTTCCTCTTTACAATTTGGAAGCATAACAAGCAATAATCAAAGTGTTTTCTGAGATCTAACTTGATTTTTTTACGTTTATTTTTCTTCCAATTTGCCTTTATATTGTCCACAATTTGGTTTATTTGTTCACTGCAGTGAGCAGCTCTTTCAATTTTGTTGTACTGTGGAACCAGAGTGTCCCTCAATATCATCCTCAAACGTCTAGTAAAATGTGTCCTACATACTGACATCTTTGAGTGTGTTAGGATTTTTCTGACACTTTTCTACAAACTCAAATCAGGAAGTTGAAGAAGAATGTTTGTTCCATCTTATTTAACAATAACCTCATCTTTATATTCAGTCATCTCCTTTAATGTACTATTTGGGTTTTTTTTTTTAATTGCCTGTTGTGAAGCACTTTGTTTCCTGTATTGAAAAGTGCTTTACAAATTAAATTGTTTTATTAAAGTATTATTATTATAGCTCAGTAAACTCTGTGAAAGTTGTTATTTTCTACACCCATTCTATTCAGTTTGGTTGTTTTCAAAAAACGATTTTAAGCAGAAGAAAAGTAAGAAAAATGACATAAAACACACTGTTTCAGAAAAAGAATGTTACACTTTATACAACATGTTGTTCAGATGGATGCAGAGCAGAGATCACAGAGGCTTCTCATCAGTGGTTTCAGACCACACAGTAGACCGATGAGTGAAGCTGGTGGTCTTGTGTTAATATTATTCTCCTTATAACAACCTCCGCAGCAGGAGATCCACCTCAGCGCTCCATGCTCCTGTCCTCCCTCTCACCTCAGCCTCTCATTACAGGCTTGCTTACACCTTCACTCCTCCATCACTGCATCCATTAGAAAAGGAGAGTGAGGAGATACATGTGCACTTAGAGATACGTGTGTTTTATCATTCCACTAATAAGAACACGTGATGATTGCAGTGAGAGGATGGATGTAGGAAGATATAAAAGTGTGAACCTGGACAAAAGATGTTTTGTTTTACAGATGGTGATGTCTCCTGCAGTGTTTATGGCATTCAGCCATGTTCCTGTAAAGACACCTTTAGGTGGTCGGACCCCTGCCTGACCACTTTCTCCAGCCTGGCCTTTAACTCAAACCTGCCAGCTAATCATCATCAAAACCTCTAAGGTCAGTCTCCATTTTAATATCAGCATATATATATTTAATATATATATATATATATATACATGAAAAAATAAAGGTTGTCTCTTGTCTGTCCTCCTCTTCAGGGCTTCCATGTTTTTATAGCTCAACAGGGCTGCTAAAGACAACAAAAGGAAGAAAATCATCTCCTTAAATTCTGCAAAAAGATCTTAAAAGTAATGGATTAAATAAATAACAATTATCACAACATGACTGACATCAAGGTCAACCTATGTTTAAATAAAACTGAAATGCCATACTTTACTTTTTGTGTTTTATTTGCATTATTTGGAAACAAACAACAGAGCTACATATTAGTGCCGCCCCTGTCACCCTTGTGGCCATTACCTCCTCAGCCAGCGGTTGAGAGGGACCATCATTAGGGGCCCCGTGATAGATGACAGGGACTGTTTTCTCTACTTATTGTACATTTCCCCACCCCGCATGAGAGATTAGAGGTGGAGATAGGAGATCCCAGAGGGACCAGCAGGGTCAGCAAACACAGCGGAGAAAGAAATCTGTGGCCAACAGTGGGCATCAGTCTGTGGGAGACATGTAGAGAACAGACATAAATCTGCTAACATTTCTACAGCACATGCACATTGCACTTTTGTGTTTCATAAGATCGACAGCTTAAGGTAGAGTGTAAAATTGTTTATGTTACTGGAAAAAAAAAAAATCTTAAACACATGTAGCCACTCCCTAAATAGAAAGCAAACATACACTACACATTTAAAAATTATCCTGCATGCCTATCCTACATTCTTATTGAATTAAGCTACTAGCTCTCAGAAGGAAAAAGAAAAAAACAAATAAATCATTCACATTTATGATGATCAAAAATAGCTTTGCGAAGCATTTTTTGGAAACAAAATGTATACAACAAACTTACAAACACCTCTTTAATCATTATCTAAATGGCCAAAAGGGTCTAAACATGTTCTCAGGTGCATACAGTAGCAGGAACAAAAAATGAAAATGAAATCAAAAGTCCATGGCACACTGAAAATAACTCTGCTATATATTTTATAGTGTGCGAACAACGTGTTTCGCCTGTAGCTTCCTCAGGTTCGCCCAGCACCAGTTCAGCCTGGGCGAACCTGATTGAAACTTTTGACCGCTTACATCATGTTTGCTCTCCAATTGTAAAGAACCTTTGTATAGAGTCTGGGTGTGACTTTGACTTTGCTCTAAACAACCTTTTCAAGTCATTCTGGAGAATGTTCCATGAAGAGGGGGGGCAGCAAAACTAAACACTCTTTTCCCGAGTTCTGTGATAATGATGTTTGATTCTAAAATCCAACTACTTTGTAAAATACTGGACATGATATCATGTTCCTCCTTTTAAGTCAAATAAATGTATGTAAAATGTTACAAGAGAGTATGTGTTCATGTGTCATATTTGTAGATGTATTATGTTTAATTCCTGTATACAGATGAAGAAATGCACATCATGTTAGCACCATGTTTATACTAAAGCCTCGCAGGTCTACCTGATACACATTCAACTTTATTTCTAAATCACATTTGTCTTTGTTTTTTTATAAAGGGAAGTAATTTTAGTAGTATATTAAAATAGCACAAATATGGGCAATGATAGTATAGATCTTGAATGAAATAAAACATTTTGATATTAAATTAAAATTTTCAAATTTATCCAACTACTCAACTCATGATTTATAGCTTGAACAGTGATGGTTGAGTCCTTGTGTGTGTACAATATACTTTTTTTCAGTTTGAATACTGACGGCATGAAAAAAAAAAAAACATTTCACTGACTCACAAGTTCAAATGTTTGGTAAATTTTGCTGATTTCATCGGCGCAATAGAGAGATACACATTAACTACACTCATCTGGCAATAATTCATCTGGCTTGTACATTAAGAATAAGTTCTGGGATCGCTGGGTGTGTGTGTGTGTGTGCTTGCTTTATATTTGTCTGAGTGTAAAGCTGTTTTGCTTGTTCAGCTAGGTTCAAAGTACAAAAGTTGATTTTTATTTGGGATTTGTTCACTGACTACTTCCTTCTTTATAAATCACTGCAGCATTTCCTCATTCCCATAATGAAGACAGCTCAGCCACCAAAGGAACGGGGAGTATAAACTCACCAGGGCAGATTTATTGACCAATAATCACATCAAATAAACTGAAGACTGAGCTAGAGTTCATTACTGCCCTGAGAGCTGGTCGAGTAAACACAAAGGAGTCAATCTTTCACTGGAACCACCTGAGGAGAACATTTAAGACTGCACAGTGACGGAGGCCGTTGAACGAAACCAGACCAGAAGAACTTATAAGAACAAGTGCTGTAAGATGTCATTGCACCCCAGAATGGTCTTCAAGCGGAGAGAGACCATCACAGATCTGCCTCTCTACTACTCTGGATGCCTGCAGAAGAAAAGCTCCAAAGAGAAGGTGAGGAAACCGACTGCTAAAGACAACTGTCATGGTTCAGTGACAGTGTTACATTTGGAAATTAGAAAGTGGCAACAAGTGCAGACATTAAATTGACGGATGTGATTTTCAGGATTTCAAGAAATTTTTCGGAGAGCTCCGAGGAACCACACTGTTTCTGTATAAAGATGACACACAGGCTACAGTAAGCAGTTTTATTTATTTTTATTCACTGAGTTTTAGCAAGAGTGTGATTTACAAAATACCATTATTAAATGATCAATTTAACAATTCATTTAAGAGCTGTTTTCCCCCCTTTTTTAAAAACGTTGCTGTACATATATAAACAACACAACTTCAGAAGGTCAACACTTTTTTATTTAGATTTTTTATATTCAGGTCTAATTACAGATTTTTTCCTCACCTGTTTATAGGTTCTTGTTTAAATTTCACATATATTTTTATCCCTGCACAGGTTATGTACATTTCTTGTAAACGTCTATTTTTTTTAATTGCACAGTTTAAGTTTGATTCATCTAGGGGGATTCTTTAAATCTTGTTTTCAGGTTAATATATTTGTATGGGAGTGGGGCGTCGGTTTTGTGGTTAATTTGTAACAAATGTTTCATGTCATGTACGTCTTTGTAACCTGCTACTGGATGCTTTGAATCTCCCTCGGGATCAATAAAGTATCTATCTATCTATCTATCTATCTATCTATCTAAGATGTATGGTGTTAAGCCTTTTAAATCAGGGCGATTCCGTGGAAGGGCTTTTACAAGTGGGTGATATACTAACAGAAAAGGTGCATTCAAGAACAGATTTGTTCTACTTAGATCACAGAAGAAGTTACTTAGTTCTCACATTATGTGATGCATATTTCAATATTTCTTTTTGAAGTGTTGATTTGTACTTGTTTTAGTTGAAATGTTTGCTCTCCAGTACACAGACAAGATGGACCTGGAGAAGTTGAAGTCCATGGAGCTGGAGAATGCCTTTCAGAAGAAGGTGCCGCCAATCTTCACTCTCTTCCTACACTCAGAGGAGGTGCAGCTTAAGGTGTGTTGAAGCTCAATTTTCTCCTTTTTTCAGCCTGTAGTTGGTCTTGGGTTTACAAAGAAATTTGAAATCATATGGGCATTGGTTTTAATTTGTCGGCTAACTTATATCTGACCCCGTCCAGTTGTTAAGTTTTCTTTCTTTTGTGAGCAGCTAAAAGAAATAAAGTCTGCTGTGTTACGGTACAGATGGACAATCTTGACGCAGGAATGGAGTGGAGGGGCTACATCCTGACTGTCACCAAAGTAAGCAGCACACCTATAAAACCATAAAAACACAGTAGCTGCTGATGCTACAGAATATGCTAAGTGTGCAGAAAAAAAGCAATAACAAATCCTTAATGTCTGACCTTCTCCACAGAGAGACATTGACCGTTCATACAATACATCCTTTTACTGACTTTTCTTTTCTTTTCTTTTTTAATATTACATTCTGTGTGTGCTGTATGAGCAAAAAAAAGAGCAAACAGGGAAAATAGCAGAGTCTGGTTAATTATTATGCAATTATATGGCTCATGGAGCTTCAGGGGACAAACTTCCTCTATGGACTAATTATTAAAATGATAATGGCACAAAGGAAACAACAAGGAAGCTGACATTTGATAATGCAGATCCAGATACGCAAAGTTTCTGTTGTATAATAGGGATTATATAATAGGGATATTATTCATGATTCATTATTAAGATTCAACTGTCTTTATTTTTAGGATTATTTCTACAATTAAGAGAGAAAAATTCAGGTTTTGACCTTGAACTCTGTCTTCCCGTAGAAAGAGATTCCCAATAAGATGCAGCTTCTGCCCGGTCAGAAACTGCAGCTTGAGGAGGTTATGGCTAAGGAGAGGAAAAGAAACAACCCAACACAGCGTCCACCCCTTCCACCCCGACCCGCCTTCCTGCAGTCGGCCTCTCCCTCCCCTCCACCACCCAAAGACGAGCCTGACCTCACCTCTTCAGAGATGCCTGTGTATGTTAGAAAAGACTGTCTCCATGAGTTTTTCTGATCAGATTCTTCCCTCTGGGTTCATCATTATTCTGACTAACTTCAGAATTTACAGTCTCTTCAGCCTTTTCAGAAAACAAATACATATAAGCCTGTTCTCCCTACACTCACCACCATGTGATGTGTACTTCATCTCTGCTGTCTTGACCAATAGAACGGCACCTTTATGACCTCCACAGGTGATGAGGAAGTGTTTCTTTATTGCAGCTGTTTCTTTAACGTGTCTCGAAGCAAGGCTGAGCAGATGTTGGAGGAGAACCCTGAATGTGGAAGCATTATCCTCCGCCCATCAGCTCTGGCCAACAACTACGCCCTCACCCTCAGGCAGCAGAAGCAAAGGTCTGACCCTACATCTTTGTCTCAGAAAAAAGGAGGAAGAATGAGTGAGGATGGATGGAAGAGAGGGAGGGAGGGAGGGAGGGAGGGAGGAATGAGAAAAGGAAGGTCGATGGATGGATGGATTGATGGATGGATACCTGACAGACAGACAGACAGATAGATACTAAACATGATGTTTGTTTCTGTCTGTCTCGTAAAATGTAAAAAAAAAAAACGTTGCTTATGAAAGGCCCACTCAGCAGAAGGTAAATGATCCTCGTCTTTCCTGTGTTTCAGTGAAGGTATCATGAAGAACTACAGAGTGACCTCCACAAACTCAGGCTTTGTCATTGAGCTGGATGATCCTGTAAGTTGCATAGAGAAATGGTTGTTTAAGAAGCTTCCATATCCGCTGATAAAAAAAAAAAAGTGTTAAATTTTTGTATTAATTTGTGTGAGACTAAGAGTGGATCAGGC